TGCTCAAAGTCCCACAATTGGTCCCAAGCTACGGAAGCGATGAGAGTCTCTTTCCTCCCAAAAGCACAGAGGTCAGTAGGTGGTTATTAGTGCTCTGAAATCAAACAGAGCTGGCCAAAGCAACAGCTCTATCAGAGTTCCTGACCTGGCTTCCTCCCGTGTCATATATCCTCAGACCCTCTCCTGGCCTCTGAGGCATCGTCTTCCCACAGGGCTTCCCACAGGTCTCTGACACATGCTCTTCCTTTTCCTTCACACCAATCTCACTCCAGTCTCAATAAAGTTGAACCTTTATTTGTAGAACTTTTGGAACAGGGAAAGGCTAATGGGCATAGAAAGAAGGAGGAAGAGACAGATCATTTTGACCCCTTAAAAGTTTCTTTCCAGTTATCTCCCTAATACCCCCTTACCTTGTACTTGCTTGCACACACACACACACACACACACACACACATCATAAAAATGGCCGCTTCTCAATTCTTTTGCATAAGGCAGATTCTTCTATAGCACTAAGTTGGACTAAAGTTCATATTTTGGGATGGAAAAAACCTAGCACAACTCCAGGGGAGTAATGAGCTAGAGAGAACATACCCCAAGGTCACCCTGCTGTCGGCTGAGAACTGCATATGCCTCTCCTTTTAGCTCTGTTGAGCACTTAGTAAGCCTGCACTAATTAATCTTCCTCCTGTTCCCCTTAGAGAGAGCCAGTGAGGCACTTGAGGGGGTTAGGTGACTTTTCTGAGACCACAGCACAGGTGGGGATGGAACCTGGGCCTTTTTGGGGGTCCACCCAGAGCCCTACCATGGGTCCTTCTTGCTGCAGCACAGCACCAGACCCATTTACCACTCATAGGCGAATCCAGAACTATCAGCCCGGGCTGCTTCCATTCTCTCAAAAATGGCCATGTTCCAGACATCCATGTAATCCCTTTTGCAGGCATCACACCCCCATCTTCCTGAGACCAGGAGACCATCACTTCTCTCTCCTAATTTTCATCATGCTCCTCCCTCCAGTCTAAAGGCTCTACAAAAAGGCTAAACTTCATAAGCGAAGCCCAACGGCCTTGCACTGTTTCTTCTCAACTCTCCAAAATGAAATTAAATGCCAGGAATCTGGAATCTCAGATAGCCCCATGGAGAGATCCCTCTTCTTACTGACCTAAGGTATTATGGGAAAGGCTGACCTCATCAGCCTTTCTGGATTGAAGTAGAAGACATGCCAGCCTGAGTAGGGAGGTGAGCTATGTCAGGTGACCTCCAGGGCCCCCCCTCTAAGAATATAAGAAAGACAAAGCATCAAGCCCGACGTCTCTCCCACCCACACTGTTTCATCGTGATACACTCTGCCCCTCTTTAGGAAGGAAAGCTAGCAATAATATTAACAGTAGTTGTGGTAGGCTGCATAACGGCTCCCTAAAAGATACTCATGCTCTGATCCCTAAAACCTGTGAATGTTACCTTATATGTCAGAAGAGGACTTTGCAGATGTGGTTAAGGATCTTAAGGTGGGGAGATTATTCTGGATGGTCCAGGTAGGCCCTAAATGCAATCACGTGTATCCTTATAAGAGGGAAGAAGAGGGAGATTTGACACCCACAGAGGAGAAGGCAATATGATCATGGAGACAGAGGCTGGACTGATGCAGCTACAAGTCAAGGAATGGCAGCAGCCACCAGAAACTAGAAGAGGCAATGAATAGATTCCCCCCTATAGCCTTTGGAGTCAGCACAGCTCTGCCAACACTTTGATTTTGGCTCAGCAATACTGATTTTGAACTTCTGGACTCCAAAACTGTGAGAAAATAAATTTCTTAATTTTTTAAGCCACTCAGTTTGTGGTAATTTGTCACAGCAGCCACAGGAAACTAGTAAGTAGCTAACACTTAAAAACTGACCACTACGTGCCAGGCACTGTTCTAAGCATTTTATGAGCGTTAACTCATTTACATCCTGGCTCTGGGGCCTGAGCTGTGCACACACATTACCTGAGCTTGAATCCTAGCTTCACCGCTTACTGTGTGACCCCGAGCAAGTTAAGTAATCTAAGTCTCAGTTTCTCCATTCATAAAATGGGCATATGGTACCTTCCTCATTGGGTTGCTGGGAGGATGAAATGGACAATACAGGTAAAGTGTTCAGAACAGTATACAGCAAATGGTTAATAAATGCTGGCTATTATGAGATCTCTGGGGTTGGGAGAGCCAAAATTGGACGATCATACTAATCTGTCAGGACACGTACAAGGCCGCCAGAACCCAGTGCAGGAATACAGACGTCCCCTTCAAGCTAGTTTGGATAGCAACATGATATCTGAGGAGTTCAGTTCAGTAGTCCTTCCCTTAATTAAGCAATTTAGTTTCTTAACATCAGCCTCATTTCAGAAAAGGCAGCCTGGGACTATGCTAATTCTGCAGTGTTCAGCAGACTTCCCTGCTTCAAGCGCCAGTTCTTAAGGAAAGCTACACACATCAGATCATCCACACAGAGGACCTCACTCACAGAACGCACAACAGGCGCACCCTCCACAGAGCCCACCACATCTTCCTCCTGGAACTCTGGCGTTTGGACCTTGAGTTTGGAAGTCAGCAGGAGACAGAAATCATCAGTACATTTCATGGCCTTCCAAGGCCATTCCAACCTGTCTCAGCAGGCTGGGTGGAATGACAGATTCAAGGGTCTGCTGTGATTAAAAGGTTACAGCCAAGCTAGGAAAGAAGAGAGTAAATAAGGTTTGCTCAGGGGTAGGGGAAAGGAGATCCTGCATTATCCCCTGGGAAAGGGGACAATAAATAAATAATAAATAAAAGAACTCTTATTAACTTGGCCCTTCCTGATAAAGTGTTTCCAACTCTCCCATCGAGGTGATATAATTCAAAGAGGCAAAGAGGCAGCGCCCCACAGGATTTCAGACCTCTATATCCCCACCAAGCCCTGTGGTGTAGTGGTTAAAAGCCCTTTGCTACTAATCTGGCTACTAACTGAAAGGTTGGAGGTTCAAATCCACCAGCCTCTCTATGGGAGAAAGATGTGGTGGTCTGCTTCCATGAAAGACTTCCAGCCTTGGAAACCCTATGTGCAGTTCTACCGTGTCCTACAGGTTCACTAAGATGCGGAATCGACTCGATGGCACTGTTTTGTTTTTAATGTCCTTTCCTAAGAAACTCAAGAAATCTGCCCGCTGTTTAGAGACAGGGACCCGAGGGATAATGTCCTGGCCACAGGGCCTTAGCTTGCTCTTAGGCGGGCTTCCAGCCCACTGACTGGATTGACCAGCGTAGGACTCCTGCTCCTGCTCCCTATGCTGGCAACCAGGCCTCTGCCCAGCAGGCTGCAGAGACAGCCACCAGCCCCCATCTCTGCCCTTCCCTACCCCACCCTCCAAAGGAAAGAAAGATGAAAGAGGACAGCTCCCCCTCCGTACTCTCAGGCACCCACAGATTTCTGCGCTGCCGTCACCACTGACAAGAACCTAGGTCCCCTGGAAGAATCGCTTCTCCTTCTCATTCCATCTTCCCAATCAATGAACACGCAGCAACACCCACGCTCCCGCTCCTCCTACTCCGGAGGGAAACCTAACGAGCAAGCGACATCCGGAGCTGGAAACCACAGCAGTAGGGCGCCGGCCTGCCTGCCCTACAGTCCCTTGTCCTTTCCCAGCCACCCGAGGATCCCCCGCCAGCCCAACGTTCAGGATAGAAAGGATGCCTCTGTCGGGTCCCGCCTCCCAGGGGCTTTGCGGTAGGGACCTCAGGGAGCGCTCTGGAGAATGGCTTAGTCCCGTCCCGCGGGCGCAGGGCGCAGAGCACGGTACCCGGGGCTCGAACCAGGTGCCCTGGCCCCACAGACTTAAGCATTCAAAAGCAAGCTCCCGCGCAGCGTCTGCCCCTGGACCCCCGCCCAGAGGATCCCAGTCCAGGCAGCCGGCGCGCCCATCGTGCCCACAACAGGTCGTGGACACTGGACTCGCGCCGCCTGTCAGCAGGCGCGGGGAGGCGAGCCGGAGCGAAGCCGAGGGGTGGGTAGGCGAGTCGCGAAGGTCGCGAGGGCTGGCGCCCGGCCACTCACGCGCGGGCTCTGGGGAAGCCCATGGAAAGTAGAACGTCCAGCGCCGATCCATGCTTGATGGTGCCGGGGCGCTGCTGGCGGTGCCTCCGGGGGGTGACTTTGCTGTACAGTTCCTCTCGCGCGGCCATGCCGAGAGCGCTGGGGGTGGGAGGGCCGTACCGAGCGATGGCTCAGCGGCCAGCCATCGCCGGGAGGCGCCGGTCAGGGGCGTCGGGAAGGAGGAGGGGAGAGGGCTTGGAGACCAACAGCCAGGCGGGAGGCGGGAGGCGGGTGGCGGTGGCGGCAGCGGCGTCGGCTCGGGGCTTGCCCAGTGTCGAGACGCTGCCTCTTCCTGGTGAGGCCACCGGAGCCAGAGCCGCCGCTGGGCTGCTTCTGCGGGACCTGCTGGCAGCTACTCGGGCCCCAGTGCCCCCGCGCGGCGTCCGCAGAAACCCTCGTTCCTCCGCCCCCTTCCTTCTCAGCCCCAAGCAGTCCGGGAATTTGCAATGAGTAATTTTTGAATGGATCAAAAAGGAAAAGCAGCCCGGTGGGCTGGCCCTGCCTTGCCTGCGCCAGGGCCCCGCCCCTCTCTTAAAGTGGCCGCGCTGCCGGTGGCGGCTCGGGAGGAGCCGGAGCTGTAGCCCGGCTGCTGCCAGCGGAGGATCCCAACCCGCGATGGCTCTGCGTGCGTCGGCGCCTGAGAGCCATCCCCTGCGCCTCAGCCCTTTTCTTGGTTTGCATTTAGCCCAGCGGGGCTTCAAAACATTAGATCAACCCATTTCACGTTTTATGTGGTTTTGGATGGGGTTAATAATGGAAATCCAGAGGACTGATGGATGACATTAGTGGATCAGAAGGCCGAGCCATAAGGGTATGATGATAAAAAGCTTTGCTTCTGAAAGACTCTGCAAAAAAAAAAAAAAAAAAAAACAACCCTGTTGGAGACCGAGTTCGCGTCAGCCAGTCCAGTGACTAGACCGGAAGACCTGGTGCATGGTCAGTGACTTTGGATAGTTACTTCAATGGAAAGAGAGGGACCTCAGGTTCCACGGGGGGAAGAGGGAACGAGGGAGAAAAGGGGGTGTAAAGGAGAAAAGGAAGGGGAAGAGGAAAGGAGGAAGGGGGAGGTGAGGAAGGAAGGGGGAGGTGAGGGAGGAAGGGGGAGGTGAGGGAGGAGGTGGAAGGAGGGTGGAGGGAGAACGGGACGTTAGAACTAGAAGGAGCAGAGAAGGGGCTCTGGCGTTCCATTAAGAGGTGTTCAGAATGGAATGGGCTGATTTTCCTAGGCAGTGAATAGCCTGTCCATGAGAGGATTCAAAGACAGATCGGACTGCCGTTTCTCAGTAAAGATGAGTAAGTGAATTGCATCATAGATTCGACAAAACAACTCGCCCCTCAAAGAAGGTAGAGGTGATAGCCACACTTGCTTCCCCTGCCCCACGCCATCAGCTTGGCTGGGGGATTTTAAAGCTTTTCCATTAGCAGACAAAGCCTTTGTTCTCAGTCAAGAGCCCCACTTGGTGTAATGAAAAAAGCAGAGTAAACCCTAGCAGCTGTTCCTTTTTTATTTCTTTCTTTTACTTTATTTTATTTTTATTGTACTTTAGATGAAGATTTACAGAAGAAACTAGCTTCTCATTAAACAATCAATATATTGTATTGTGATATTGGTTGCCAAACCCACGACATGTCAACACTCTCCCCTTTTCGACCCTGGGTTCCCCATTACCAACTTTCCTGTCCCCTCCTGCCTTCTAGTCCTTGCCTCTGGGCTGGTGTGCCCGTTTAGTCTCATTTTGTTTTATGGGGCTGTCTCATCTTTGGCTGAAGGGTGAACCTCTGGAGTGACTTCATTACTGAGCTAAAAAGGTGGCTGGGGGCCATACTCTTGGGGTTTCTCCAATCCCTGTCAGACCAGTAAGTATGGTCTTATTTTTTTTTGTGTGTGTGGGTTAGAATTTTGTTCTACATTTTTCTCCAGCCCTGTCTTCTATTGTGAACCCTGTCAGAGCAGTCGGCGGCGGTAGTCGGCGGTGGTAGCCAGGCACCATCTAGTTGTACTGCACTCAGTCTGGAGGAGGCCATGGTAGTTGTGGCCTGTTGGTCCCTTGGACTAATCTTTCCCTTGTGTCTTTGGTTTTCTTCATTCTCCCTTGCTCCAGATGGGGTGAGACCAGTGGAGTATCTTAGATGACCATTCACAAGCTTTTAAAACCCCAGATGCTACTCACCAAAGTAGAATGTAGAACATTTTCTTTATAAACTATGTTATGCCAATTGAGAAGCTCTTCCTTTTTTACATAATAATAATAAAACCTAACAGTTATTGGGCTCTTGTATGTGCCAGCCACTGTGCTAAGCATAATTAATGAATTAACTATTGAATTTTTACAAGGAGTCTATAAGATGTGTACCATTATTATTCGAGTTTTACAGATGTGAAAACTCAGCTCAGAGTTGTGGAAGATCACAAAGCTGGTAAATGCCGAAGCCAGAGCTTTCACCCACTGTGGTGCATTAGACAAGATACTTCGCCCCTTGTCAGCCCCATTTCCTTATCTGTATGGATGGCGATAACCTAGTATGCTATCTTACACACACTAGGGTCTCTAAAAATATCAGCCCCCCTATCCTTTCCCTGCCTAGAGTGTGGGGGAGGGATGGTGCCAGGCACCTCATGAAGAAAAGGTTGAGTAGCTTTGGGACATTGCTTCGTAAAGCATCTGAAGGTTTTACCAGGGGAAATGACACAGCTTAATTCCTTTAACCCAGAATTGGCATTCTAAAGACTGTCTAGTGGTGTTTGGCAGTAGGGAGATAAGGACTGCTGGGACTAAAGCAACAATGTGCATAATTCTCCATTCTGCTGGGTGAGAGATGAGGGAAAGTTCCTATTTCCTGAGTAGAAGCTTTTTCCAGAGGAGAGGGCATGTCCTAAAGACCTGGCAGAGTGCTTTTCCAGGGCATGGAGAAGAGGTGGGCCTGGGCCTGGAAAACCATATCTGAAAGACTAGCTTCCTGGTGACACATTCAGTAAAGGACCCCCATGCTTACCCAATGTCCTGAATTTCTTCCAAATGCATAGGCCAAATGGACCAGATGCTGGTCAAGAGATGATAATGTCTATGGAAATTCTATGTAAGCTGTCTTAGTTATCTAGTGCTGCTGTAACAGAAATACCACAAGTGGATGGCTTTCACAAACAGAAATTTATTCTCTCACAGTCTAGTAGGCTAGAAGTCCAAATCAGGGTAACAGCTTCAGGGAAAGGCTTTCTCTCTGTCACCTCTGGGAGAAGGGCCTTGCCAGCAATCTTTCCCTGGTCTAGGGGCCTCTCAGTGCAGTGACCCTGGGTCCAAAGGATGTGCTCCCTTCCTGGTTCTTCATTCTTGGTGGTAAGAGGTCCCCCTGTCTCTCTGCTTGCTTCTCTCTTTTGTATCTCAAAAGAGATTGATTCAAGATACAACATAATTTTGTAGATTGAATCCTGCCTCGTTAACATCATAGAGGCAGGATTTATAACACATAGGAAAATCACATCAGGTAGCAAAATGATCACACAATACTGGGAATCATGGCCCAGCCAAGTTTACATTCATTTTTGGGGGACACAATTCAATCTATAACATAAGGCATAAAGCACTACACAAATAATAACTCACACTTATTGAGCACATACTTACACATGTAACTCATTTAATCCATCAACAAGACCATCAAGTAGGTACTAATATATTACTAGTCATTATACAAGTGAAGATGCTGAAGCAGAGAAATCAAGTTTCTTGTCCAAGGCCATACCAATGGTTAAGTGGCAAAGCCAGGACTGAGACCCTTAAAATTTGGCCAACTACTTTCTGCTATTGTTATGTTGATGATGAGGAAGTTGACATCTCCTGTGCCCCTTGAATTACTAGATCTCTCTTTCTCCAGGAAAACTGAATTGTCTTTTTCTCTCCCTGCCTCCAGGCCAACTGTGAGACAGAGGAAATGATGGATATAAAAATAGTTTTAGAAGCTTGGTAAAAGCAATATGGAAAACTGAGCACCTTAGATGCAACTGTTTTGTCTGGGTCACACTGACAAAAATCCCACTTGGCTTCCTCACCCTTCTTCAGCTCAGAGTCAGCGCTTATTTTATTTAGGGCTGCTGCCATTCATTCTGCACAGGGTTGGGAGCCTGGCAATTAAGATGCATTGTGCTTTAATTGTACTGACTTTCAAAAGCTAGGGGAAGCTTTATAAATATCTGTGTTGTTACATTATAAAGAGAGAAGAGGACTGACTATTCATCTGATGGTATATCTTACCATCGTGGAGAGGGGTGAGGCAAGGAGTGGAAACTTGCTCAGTGATGGAGCTGACAGGCGAGCATCAAGCTGTTCCCTCAGAAGGGAAGGCAAGTTGTCATGTCTCCCTGCACAAACCAGTCATGTCAAAATCCATCCTGGACCACAGAGCTTTTTGTTCATGTGAGCACTGTTTCACTCCTCAGCCTTGACCCCAGTACTTTCTTGTTGTGGTTGCTTCTGACTCATGAGGGTTGAGTGGGTGAAGCATGATGCCCTGTGCTCCTCTTCCCAGAGCAGTTACACTTCATCAGCTTTAAATCTTGGGGGTTTTATGTAAGATTTTCTGTGGAAAGAGGTTTGGAGGATCAAAAAACATTTTGAAGAAAGCTGAACTAGAAGATCTTTAATGCCCAGCTTAGTTCTGAGAAAACATAATTCAATATAAAGAAGGTAAAGGGGAATGGAGTGAGATTGGCAAAAGGGGGAAGAAGACATTTGGGTTGTTGGGAAGGGACACACAGGTGAGAGGTAGGCTAGAGAGAGAAGAGCAGGGTCCAAAGAGGTAAAGTGCTGGGTGAAATGGACTTCAAAAAGTCATTTCAGCCATACCATGTCCCTAGGCACTACCATAATAGATCTCAGTACCTGGAGATTGGTGACTGTTTCATAGTCTTAAATTTCTCTTAGGACTTAGGATAGTGCTGGGCACCTAGACAGTCAGTAGCAGCATTTGCTTGATTCTTGGTTGGTTAATTAACCTGTGAAGTCAAGTCACACAGTAGGGAAGGGCAAGACTGAGGACTAAAAAAAAAAAAGTTCTGAGCATCACTTCAAACCAAAAAAAGGTTATATTTTTCCCACATATTAAAAAAATTAAGATCTCTCCCTCAATTGCAAAAGGAAAAAGGTGGTGAGGGGGACTAGTTTTATTGCTTTTAGTTATCTCTGAACAAAAATCCCAGCCAATCTATTTTGGAGTCCTCACAGGAGACACTCCGTTGTCCATTTTCCCCCTTGTAAAGGCCTCACCTGAAATGTCACTGCCTCAGGTCCTTGTCCCTGATTTGCCACGTACAATAGACATGTTGTGAAATAAACAGTACAAGAAAAAAAAAGCTTTTTTTCCCCTTTTCTCACACAACTTCTTTTATGTGTATAAAAGGTAATGTCCAGGCAGCACATGGGAAAATTTATTTCTGAAAATTGGAATAAAAATGAGTATCTATAAAAACCTAGGCATGAGACAAACCTTCCTCCCTTGACTTAAAAGAGTGGAAACAGTAGTCTTTTACCAAGATGTTTGGAAAATAATTTTCACCCTTAAAAAATTAAAGATAGTCTAAGGGATTGCAAGATTTGCTATTTATTATTATTTTTTAAATTGTACTTTAGAAGGGGTTTACAGAGCAAACTAGCTTCTCATTAAACAATTAATATGCATATTGTTTTATGACATTAGCTGCCATCCCCACAACATGTCAATACTCTCCCCTTCTAGTCCCCATTACCAGCTTTCCTGTCTCCTCCTGCCTTCTTGTCCTTGCCCCTGGGCTGGAGTGTCCATTTAGACTCATTTTGTTTTATGGGTCTGTCTAATCTTTGGCTGAAGGGTGAACCTCAGGAGTGACTTCATTACTGAGCTAAAAGTGTGTCCAGGGGCCATACTCTTGGGTTTTCTCCAGTCTCTGTCAAACCAGTGAGTCT